TTAAAACTCTGAAAGAGACGTCTGATTTTTCAATTTGTTCTATGGCCAATATACCTACAGCAAAATTAAATTTCAAGAAAATATATTTACAAAAATTATTTACATGCAGTTTTTGAAAATTTGTGCCCTTCCCTTTGAATTTATTCCTTATATAATTTTTTATAATTTAAAAAATAATGTGTAGTAAAGTACACAGCTTCTAGTGCTACAGCTCGTCATGTAATAGAATCTTAATCTCGTCTGAAAGCCTGATGTTGTTTTTGAATTTCTTAAATTTCGTAGTAAATTAAAGAGTTTTACGTTGTAGAGTCACGCTGCAGGTATATTATAGTTGTAGCACGAATGGGTCGCCTCCACCCGGGAAGGACCACGCTCTCAGAAAGCTGGCGTAGAATAGCAGCTTAATGCTGCTGTGTTTCGTATTGTAAGTGTAGAGAAGCGGAGACCCATTTTGGTGGAAACGAGGCATTCCATCTTAGTCCTTAGGGGTGACAAAGCATTTGCATTTTGATTCTTAATTGAGGATAGATATAGATGTCTATAGACCACAGCACCCATTTACTATAAGGGGAATGTGTGCTCGTTTGTCATCCTAATTCAAAAAAAAAGAAAAAAAGTAGAGTTACAGTTTATTTACGTCTGCTGGTTGATCACAGGCCTCTTATTTCTAAGTTGGTTATGAAGCAGTTATTTCATTAAGCTGCACCATCTTCAGCTCCACTAGCAAACTACACAGTCATGCAGGTTACCACATGATATTTTCCTAAACCGCACAGCGCGGTAAATCAGCACTTAAAATTGCAATAAACAATTTCATCGGTTCCGGCGGGAATAGAATACGGGTTTTTCGCTCTGGATAAAATTTACAGTAAAACATTTAACTAATTTTTTGTAGGTAGGACTAAAATTCTGTAGAAATCAAGTATTGTTAGAAGTACAGCAGAACAAGTGATGTATAGTTTTAGGTTTTTGTGTCATGACCATATGTTTATCTAGAAATGTTTGCCACAAACAATATTACATTGCTATCACAGCGTTTAATAAAATCAACAAACTATACATCTATCTATACAAATAAATTAAATTGAAGTGTCTGTTTGTAATGTCAAAATAACAGCTTTTTACTAAATGCATATGAAAGTATGTACGGTACTTATAACAAAAACACAATTTATAAAATGTTTGTCTGTCTGTCTATCTGTCGGTCTGTCTGTTTGTTCCTGCTAATCTCCGAAATGGCTAGATTTTGACGGGACTTTCACCGGCAGATATCTGGTATTATAAGGAGTAACTTAGGCTACTTTGAGACTGCTGAGAACTAAGAAAAATATTTCAAAGACGTGAAGTTCGCCAACACGCATTGGGGCAGCGCGGCGGACATTCCTTTACCCTAAAACCCTCTCAAAAATGAAATGAGGCCTGTGCCCAGCAGTGGATATATAGGCTGTACTTTATACATAACGTCATGCCTGAAATCTCCGATAGAGTAGGCAGAGTCCAAGTAGTCAAAAACTATTAGTTTTTACGAGTTGACATAATGATTTCTTATAATGGTGAACTATGACACCGGGACGTCAAACACCTCAGTCCCCCCGAGACCATGGGTGTAAAGGGTAATAGAAGTTAAAAAGTAAAAATTAAACCGATTAAATATTTTTTTTATAGAATAGGGTGACAAACAAGCACACAGTCCACCTGATGGTAAGTGGTCGCTGTGACCCATAGACATCTACATCGATCCTCAATAAAGAGTCAAAATGAAGATGCGTCGTCACCCGTGAGGACTAAGATGGAATGCCTCTTCTCCAGTAAAATGGGTCTCCGGTTCTCTACACTCACCATACGAAACACAGCAGTGTCAGGCTGCTATTTTACGCTGATATTCTTTGAGAGCGTGCTACTTCCTCGGTCGAGCCGACCCATTCATGCTACAACCATAATATAGCTGCAGCATGGCTCTACCACGTATAAAAATCTATAAAATAAGTTCCATATAATTTTACGACTTGAGTTTTTCAATTTTTTTTGTTAATTTATTCTACATTTGTATTAACTCTTTAAATTATGTAATGGCTCTATCTTGTCCCTCGACAAACGTACAATTTGTCGTAGCGTTGCATTGCGTTTATTGTGTGTGAATTCAGTGTTTAACTGCCGTGTGCCGAAATGTGTTTTTATTCCGCTTATGCGACCTTGAAAATAGTATAGCATAGAATATTCATATTCATTATAGAGTATTATGTAATACTTATTGATATTATTTTTTTTATTTACCACTGGTTCGGAAAATACGTAGAACACTGTAATTCACAATAGAATGGCTGCCAACCTTATTTTGTACGAGAATCGATGTCACAGGGAGCACACATACAAACTGTTACGTCGTATTATATTATCACTACTACTAAATAAATGTTACTAACGCATTTTTACATTACATAAAATCAGACTTTATTCCAAGGCAATAACAACGGATTCACAACGAATCTTAAAGAATTATATGAATACTGACTTTATGAAAGCTAGTATTCATAATATATTTCTTTAAATTCATCGATCACTAATAAAAAACTTAAATTAGTATTTCTTTATTATTTGTTGCCTTTAAAATGAGTTGAACTATTTGCCTACGTTGTTTTACATCTACAAATTGCAATTCCTTGCAACGAATACAAAAGTAATCAAAACTATTGTTGATCCGTACTTGGTTTAATAAATAAAGTAATAGTTACAAAATAATAAAACTTATTAAAAAGTTTATGTTGTGTAACAATTAAACACATCCGTGACCATTAAACGATCTAATGATTACGGATGTGTTTTTAATTGTGAGAGATTTTATGACATTATTTACATTTAATATAACATTTTATGTTTTTGTTCTAAATCTCTTAATCTTAGAATTGCAATATGTTAGTGAAGTTTCCAACAGACAGACGGACAACAAAAAAATTAAAATGTTATTCATATCTTTATGGCAGTCAAATAATCCCCTCAGCTCAATTTAAGGCGGTTATTCCGATATTACAGACAGATACTTTTATTTCATGTATATTTATAGATAATAGAATGAGCGATTACCTCATTCCCGGGCGTTATTTCCATAAAATAATATTACCAAATAAATAATATACAATCTATACAAATAGATAAAATTAAAGTGTCTGTTTGTAATGTCAAAATAACAGATTTTTACTAAATGCATATGAAAGTATATACGATAGTTATAACAAGAAAACTATTTTCGTACATACATAACAATTTGTCTGTCTGTTCCGGCTAATCTCCCAGCTGGACCGATTTTGACGGGATTTACACTGGCAGATAGCAAATGTTATAAAAAGTAACTTCGGCGACTTTTATTTTTGAAAAAGAATTAGGGTACCGCGCAAAAAAATTAAAACCCATGAAATGTTGGTTGACATACTGAACATTTTCTGAAATTGTGTTATAAAAGCGTATACATTGCCCCATAAATGAATTACTAATTCTGTGGAGTCTTGTAACTGGCATTACAAGCTTGTGTTTGTTCCTAGTGTTTAAATCATGAATAGTATCTTTGTTAGTTCTTATCAGGTATTTATATTTTTACCTACATATAAAAATGTTACATTTATGTAACATTTTCATGAATATATTGCGATGCTAAAGATATTTATTTGTTTAAACTTTTCTCTAAGGGACTTTACAATTTAAGCTATATACATAATGCACCCCTCTGTTGCCAAACAAATTTAGTTTCAATGTTAATCTCATTTCCCTATAGCAAATTCCATAAGATTTATATCATCCCTTTCTATTTTGATTCCTGCTACACCGCCTCTTATATGTCTATCCCTGTTTAGCCTCATGGTTGACTGGAAGAGAACGCCCTACGGCACTAAATCCGCCATATGTACTATTTGTGCATGAAAGTAAATAAAAAATAAGACATTACGCTACGATAGTAGCTAAAATAAACTAATCGGTCTGTTTCGAAGCTCCATTGAGCCCATTTAATTGATAACAGTGGTAGAGCCACGCGGCAGCTTTTGCTGTCGCACGGATGGGCCGGCTCGAACCGGGGTAGTACCACGACCTCACAGAAAACCAACGTGAAGTAGAGGTTTACCTCTGCGTTTCGCTTGGTGAGTGCAGGTGGCCGGAGGCCCTTTTTACTGGAAATGAGGCAATCCATCTTAGTCCTCACGGGTGACAACGCATCTACATTTTGATTTGTAACAGAGGATAGTTGTAGATGTCTATGGGCCACGACATCCACTTACCATCAGGTGGAATGTGTGCTCGTTTGTCACCCTATACTATAAAAAAAATGTTCTAAAAACATATTACGAAGGTACTATACAGCATGAGAAAAATCGAAACACATGAGCTAAGTCGTCAGATCCGAGTTCAGTACACCCCAGTTCGAAGGGCACGGCTGTTAGATAACTCATATAAATACTGCATAAAAGATTTTATCGCGTTTAGTTTTAACTGTACAATCAGTTAATTTTATTCAAGCTATATTAAATGGCTGAAGGTAGCCTTCGTTAATTGTCCCGCCCCTCTGTGACCACGGGTGCTGTAAAACATCCAAAATGTCGGGAGTTTTATTCGATGTCTAGTGTTCATGTAAATATGGGCTGGGCTACGTTCAGCCTCTACGTCAACTATGATATCGAGACGTCAAACCCCTCAGGTCCCCCATGATCACGGGTGCTGTTAAGCATCCAAAAATTTCTGGAGTTTTATTAAATGTCTAGTGTTCATACCGGAGATTTAACGTTCAGTCACGAACTGAGTTATCGTCCTACGCAGAGAAAATATTAAATTAAAAATCAATATTCAGATGCGATTCAGACCCCTGACGACTAAGATAGAATGCCTCATTTCTAGTAAAAAGGTCCTTTAGTGTAGGTTTAAAATATAATGTACTAATTTACGTTTAAATTGAATTATTTAAAACGAAGATATTAGATCTTACAAATCATTTGGTTGAAATAGAGTTTTATTTGCAGTCTGCTTCAAGATTTTCGACTTGGACGGAGATGGAATTCTTAACAAGAAGGAAATAATCGACATGGTTGAAATACTGTGCACCGTTGCCAACGAGTCCTTCAAGTACCAGAGCTCCAGAGCCTCGACGCCCTCGGACAACACAGAGTCTGAAGGCGACAAGGATTTTGATCCTGAAGTAGTCCTTCTCAATTTAAGAGATAAGCTGGTGACAGTGTCGAAGAACGGAAAGAAACCGGTGTTTCAGCTCGGGCCAAATAATGACGGGGATGAAATTTTAATACAGAATAAAGTTGAAGAAGAACTTGTTGCGATAAAAGAGGTAAGTAATTTGTTTTTTTTTTTAATAATAACGGTGTTGTTAGTTCCGCTACCTGTAGATTGAGCGTTATTCTGTAGGTCAATGCACAAATGGCATGTCATGAAAAAAAATGTCAGTCGTAGGATTGCACGTCAGAAGTTAAAACTTCTTAGCTTCACGAACTTGTAAACTTTATTTTTGGGTTGTTAAGAAGTATTGTTTTAGGAAGTATTTTTTATTAGAAATTATTTTTATCAACGTAATAAAATTCTCATTCATTGCGCTGTTTTACATGAAAAATAATGATTAATTATTATCTATATAATACAATCAAATTTATAAATACATATAAATTTTATAGAATTTAATAAATAGGATTTGCAACATTACTTTCATCAATTTTATATATTTCAGCGTGACGGTCACGCGAGTTCAGTACTTTTTCCCATCCCAAAAATGTTCAACGTACCTAAAGAAGTTTATACTTCAAAAACACAAATTTAAAGCTGTTTTAGTTAAATTACAATTTAATTATTGTTCCTGAAATAAACAATTGATATTGATATTTGATATTTGAAACGTGTAACGCATGCACCAACATCTCTAACATTGCATTAATTACGTTCGCTACAGTCGTTGGTTAAAAAAAAAGATTTTACAATTATTTTCATTATTCAAAGGCGTAAGGCGGCTACTGACATGCCTGCCGCAGAACAATCTAGGGTGTACAGCGATCGGAGCAATATCTGAACTATCTCTACAAACATGCCTGTCGTTCAGCTTCACGTTCTTTCTCCGGTGTTACCGCAAAAAAAGACAAAAAGGAGATACTGAACACCTTTAGTCGACTGCGCGTGGGCGAGAAGATTAGTTCTTTGTTTTGTAAACCGCGAACTTCGTTTTCTAAAGTCTACGAGTAACACTGATTTTGTTTAATGTTGCTAAGAAAACATTGTCATTATTTATGTGCGCTCTTTGTCAAGGTGCTTTCCGAGGCACGGGGTTGAAACACCGTGAACTTCGTGACTCCGGACTGCTATTGACATCATTATTTCAAACCTAACAGTTTAGGTATTTTAGATTGTCTATTAAACTACAACGCACTATCAAATTCATATATAAGTAAAGTAATTTTTATCGAACCAAATTTGATTAACTATCATGGTGGTACGTAGAAAATGCAGTAGATGTCGCTATTACTCAAATGCGATTATGAAATACATACGTGTACTTTGGTAACTGACTTAAATAAAATTAATATAACATTAGTATTTAAACGAAAGCAACCACTTACCATCAGGTGGACTGTGTGTTCGCATGTCACTCTTATCCTATTAAAAAAAAGTTGGGGCTGGAAGTCCTTTATCTAAAAGACATACGAAAGTAAGGTCCATGAAATAAAGCAAACACGTGGAAGGTTTCAGATGTGTAAAAGCATTATAATGATAGGCATGGGACTTGAAAAATATTAGTATAGTGTCGCTTGGACTGCCTTACCGTGGACTCAATAACCGATATGTCCTAGGCATATCATCTTAGTATCGGTGGTGAGTGGGTTTGTTGTAGCAATACGGGTTTCTCGTGGACATTGCGCACCCCTGCGGGATGCGGGCGGCGTCTCAGTGCATTGAGCAATGTTACGTTGAATTCCGTGGTTGTTTAGTTTTTTTGGTGTCATGCGTTTGAGATATTTTAGTAGGTACGCCTTACATTTTTTATAAAATAAATATTGAAGATAAATGAGAACACATCTTGCGCACAATTTTGTGTATCAATTACTATGAAAGATTCGTAGTGATTTGTTTTTCATGGAGACTATTAAACCAATGAAAACATCGACTTCAGATCTTACTTAAATTTTGTGTACGTTACTGGATGATCATTGGCCACGCCATTAAACATGCGGTATATGGCGAACGTTGTCTAAGAATGTACTACAAGTATGTGGTTTTTGTTGTGCAGGACACAGGGAGGTCGTGCCTGATCGGGTCGGACATGGCGCTGACGGCAGAGGACTTCCTGATCTGGAGCGTGGAGAGCGCGGCGCGGCTGGTGCGTCCGCTGCTGGAGCTGCTGTTCGACGTGTGCCACGTGACGCTGGGCCTGCGCCCGCACTGCCGCCACCACGAGCACGACATCGGTACGTGCCCCAACCCTCGCACTGCTGACGTGGCCAAATTATTTTACGCTTTTACTGTATGTATTACGAAGATGACGCCATGCGTAGTATGTCGACATCAAGTGGGTGGGGACTAGCCGAGCGTCTGGTTGTCCGCTGTTTGAAGAAAGACGAAGGAATTAAGTCATGCTTATGGCAAACACAAAATTTTTATCTTTTTATTTACACTAGTTGGACTTTATAGGGCTCTTTTTCAGCCTAGGAGTCCGTAATTCCCTTACAAAATCTTGCTGCGCAATTATAAGAGCATATAAGCCTTTTCGTTCACGCTGGGTGACCTTTAATTCGTAAATTTGTTTTTGCGTGAATTTATTTTGATTCAGGTTTACCTTACTTCCGGATATAATCTAAAAATTTGCAGACGTATTATGAATCAATGATAATGCAATAATTTCATGACTATGGCCTAGAGTTCTTACTAGTTTTATCGTAGCTAATAATGTAAGACCTGTTGCATAAGTTTTTTCAAACTCTAATATTATTTACAATTTGACCTTTTCATAATAAAGATGAACTGTGGGAATACACAGCAACTATTAGTAGAATAAATAAACACTCCGAAAGTCCCAACATTCAACCGTATCCTTCTCCATCTAGTTACACTTTTTTTAGTAATTTATACGCAACACAACACAATCCGTTTCATTACAAAAACTGGTTTATTGATATTCTCAGATTTAAATTATTGTTTAAGAATAAGAGTCCTTGCTAAATAAGTCCTTTAGCTTCGGCGCCAAAATCTTCGCATAAGTTGACATATGTCAATCTTTATAGTTTATATTTTACTTCGTGTAATTCCGCAGGAGTTTTTCGTGAAACAGATTTAGTGTAAACCTGGGACTAATACACTACTTTTTTTTTAAATAAAGTCGGCATGTGTTATTTTATGGAATAAGGGTGACAAACGAACCCGCAATCCATCTGATTGTAAATAGATGCTGTGGCCCATAGACATCTACAAATGCAGATGCGTTGTCACCCCTGAGGATTAAGATGGAATGTCTGATGGAATACATTCTTAATCGAGGATAGATGTAGATGTCTATGGTGCCACAATATCCACTTATCAGGCGGACTGTGTACTCGATTGTCACTCTTACTCTTTATTTAAAAAGAAAACGATTTTCTGATCGATTGCAGTAAAACCGGATACCTTGAACTCTTTCCCGGAATCGTATGTTTGACTTACATAGTTCAAATATTGCCTAATACGTTTTGAAATTGAGATTAATAATTTTGAATTTCAAATGAGAACATCACGTTAAAGCCGTATGACGCAAGCTCTAACCGTTATTTTTTATATTTTGTTATTCATACGTTACTCTGTTACGTGTATAGTGATAACATTCGTTGCATTATTGCATTCTCTATTTTTAAATTTCTATTGTTGCTATCGAGTATGTTAGACTTATCCATAGATTTTGCTCAAGTTGAGAGCTTTTTTTTCAGAGTTGATTATTTGCTTGTGTCGTTTGTCCGGTGGTCATAAATGAGACCGTTGATTATGAGGTACCGGGTCCGAATCTCGAGTCAGGCCAAAAAATTAGTTATTGAGTTTTTCTGTCAAAAAATCTGGCAGAATCTGGAAGGGACGCCCTAGACGAAGGTTTATCGACCAATCGGCGATACTTTGAAAATGGGCCAGATTAGGAGTACCCTTAACCGACGGGCATGTATGCGTAGATATATGGATGTAAAGGAGGCGAGAGAGCTGTGTCAAGATTGCGCCAAATGGTAGTCCGTAGTCTCTGCCTACCCCTCTGGGTGACAGGCGTGAGTGTTTTTTGTTGTGTGTTGTTGTTTAAATCCTTAATACCAATCTGAAGTCAGGTAGTTGGCGGTGTTTCACCCCCGTGCCTCGGAAAGCACGTAAAGCCGTTGGTCCTGCGCCTGATCTCTCTCCGGTCGTGTTGGATTGCCGTTTCATCCCTATGAGGGTGAGGGAATAGAGTGCACCTGTGTACATACACTCGGACACCATAATCCTGTTCTGTCCTGTCATTATTTTTTCGCCAGTATTTGTTTTCGTAACTGATATAATTTCTAAGTACCTATTGTATATAAATTTCAATGCAATAATAGAAACTTTTGTTTGCGCGCAAATGTCACGAAGTAAATATAGCTCGGATGTGAGCATGTGTTGTGGCGGCATTGAGGCCGCTTGTTGCTTACCTATTTCTAGTTTATCTTTATCGCTCAGTTCGCTTTAATTGTATGTTATAAAATCTATACATATAAATAAAATTGAAGTGTCTGTCTGTAACTGCAATAACAGACTTCTATTGTGCTCGGACGTTTATTTGAATGCTATTAAGACATAAACAACACTTAAAAATGCTTGTCTGTCTGCCTATCTTTCCGGGATAATCTTCGGATTGGCTTAACCCATTGTAATGAAACTTTACGAACAGATAGAGAGCAAGTCAAGGAGAGATCTTAGCTTTTTTTTTAAACGAAAAATTAATGTCATAAATAATAGACCATAGGACACATTAATAGATCATATCCAGGCGTCTTGTCTTGGCTTATCAATACATAAATTTAATTGAATACCTTTTTTGTGTTGTACACGATTAATTCAATTGATTGCGTCCATTTACTACAAGAGACTATTTGTGTGTCGAATTCACGCAGGATGTAATTTCAAAAGTAAATATTCCGGCTACTGGTCGTCACTATTAGTGACAAAAGGGTTTTTATCCTCACTTGGAAACAGAAGAACCATATAATAACAGCTGTAAATGCCCAGACCGTGTGGTTGCGTAATAAATTCTATTTCGTCCGTGGGTCTTGTAATTGACGACTGTAGAAATACTAGTTTGGCCGAGTGGAAGGAAAAGAGGAGATCTCCCGCCGTTCAAGGTCTTCAGACCAGGGAGCGGCCAATGCTCCATGTGTTATGTCGGAGCTGTTCTATATATATCGCGAATTATGATCCAGAGAGAGATAAATACATTTTTAAAAATATGAAATATAAATTTATTAAATATACGTTACAATATGAGATACCACTTAGATCTAATTGTCCAAGCCTCCCGAGTCTCCATAGGTTGCGTTGGAATGTGCTAAATTGCGTCGTGACGTCTTGGCGTCGCTCTTGTGATAAGCTGGCTGCATCCGTTGTAGACTGTGCAATGTACATAACACGCGTTAACTTCACTTCGAAATTTGATAGCGTGATTTAGGCTTCGGTGCGATTTGCTTACGTTGCGAAGACAGCGCCGCTACACTAGAAATATCTCAAGGCTCCCGATAGATGGCGTTATAACTATCTGCCATAACATCAAAGGTGTTCCCGTCTGGTTTTGCCAAAATCCATCCGCCTGCCTAGCATGACGATTAATGACAACGAGAGAGGCAGCCCAGCAATGGACTAAACCGGAATGATGAAGAAGATAAATTATGTATGTGTATGTATAGGTAGTATAAAGTAAATATATGTATAAGTTTTAAGGGGTTATTCCGTTTATCCACTCTAGGGTGGATACCAGGAAACGCTTATACGTTTATCCACCCTAGGGTGGATACTCGGAAACGCTTGTTCGTTAATCCATCCTATGGTGGATACTCGGAAACGCTTATTCGTTTATCCACTCTAGGGTGGATACTCGGAAACGCTTGTTCGTTAATCCACCGTAGACGCGGCGGATAATCGAAATTCACTTTTTGATAGTTGTTCCGACTTTTCACCCCAAGTACAGTGCAACAGAATATTATTAATTAATTTTTAATAACCACAAACTTAAGCTAAAATCATATAACGTATTGCATTTAAACCAAATTAAACTTCCTCGTTTTAAATAATAATAAGTAATTTATTAATTCAGCAATACGTCCAGGAAATGGCCAACACCAATTTCAGTATTGAGTAGATGTAATTGTATATCCTGTAAAATTCGTCTAGAGTGGATAACTCTAGGGTGGATACTCGGAAACGCTTGTTCATTTATCCACCATAGGGTGGATACTCGGAAACGCTTGTTCGTTAATCCCTCTTAGGGTGGATACTCGGAAACGCTTGTTCGTTAATCCATCTTAGGGTTGATACTCGGAAACGCTTGTTCGTTTATCCACCCTAGGGTGGATACTCGGAAACGCTTGTTCGTTAATCCATCTTAGGGTGGATACTCGGAAACGGTTGTTCGTTAATCCATCTTAGGGTTGATACTCGGAAACGCTTGTTCGTTTATCCACCCTAGGGTGGATACTCGGAAACGCTTGTTCGTTAATCCATCTTAGGGTGGATACTCGGAAACGCTTGTTTGTTAATCCATCTTAGGGTTGATACTCGGAAACGCTTGTTCGTTTATCCACCCTAGGGTGGATACTCGGAAACGCTTGTTCGTTTATCCACCCTAGGGTGGATACTAAGAAACGCTTGTTCGTTTATCCACCCTAGGGTGGATACTCGGAAACGCTTGTTCGTTAATCCATCCTAGGGTGGATACTCGGAAACGCTTGTTCGTTTATCCACCCTAGACGCGGCGGATAATCGGAATTCACTTTTTGATAGTTGTTCCGACTTTTCACCCCAAGTACAGTGCAACAGAATATTATTAATTAATTTTTAATAACCACAAACTTAAGCTAAAATCATATAACGTATTGCATTTAAACCAAATTAAACTTCCTCGTTTTAAATAATAATAAGTAATTTATTAATTCAGCAATACGTCCAGGAAATGGCCAATTTCAGTATTGAGTAGATGTAATTGTATATCCTGTAAAATTCGTCTCTTTTAATGTACATTTGCAATAGTTTTTAAATGTCTTTGTTATAACAGACGTTTTAGCAAAAACTATACGTTTTTTTGCTAGCAATCCAAAAACTTTACTAAAGGAGAACGGTCACGCCCCATAAAAAAAACCCAGACCCGACAGAAAAGAGACATCTCAGTTTTTTTGTTATTTTTTATACAGTTAAATTATATATTTTTTATATTCGAAATCAATGGCTAACACCAAAATATTGCCCTATGTTTTTGTTCAGGCGTTACTCTGAAAAAAATAATTACAAAATGCCTTTTTACCTACAAAATTCGTAAATGCATGTAACTAAATGACGATACAATAGATATGGGATGTATCTAGGTGACCTGGAGATACAGCTGGATTATATAATTTTTGAACTCCTAGTACAACAATCAACTTAGGATTCATTAAAATCGTTGTATTCGATGATTCATTGCACATCAGAGATTTAGGTACCTATCATTAGGGTTCCATGGTCTATAACAAAAAAAATTAAATAAAACCAATATGTCGAAAAAAAGTTTTATTGAATTTTTATGTCCCTTAAAACATAATTCATACCCAGTACGGGATGGTCAAAGTGATCTCGATGTCTAGCCCACCCTTGAGTCCTTGAGCCTTGTCTTTTCATAGTAATTCACAAACGCCATCATTATTCAATCACGTAAATTATGTCACATCGAATGATATGTAGGTAACTGAACAATTAAAACTATTTCAGTTTTGACCTTTAAACAAGAAGTATGTATTTATTTTTATAAGTATGCTAATGTCTACTAAGTAATCTTAAGCCAATTTCTATCATGTTTTTATAAACGACTGTACACATTAAATGAAACTAATTTTTACGGATATTATCGCATTTAATTTAACTTTTTAATTCCCGACGTTTAATTTTGACGAAAAAAAATTTTAATGTGTAGTCTTCGCGTAAATATAAGAAATCATTATGCGTATGTACACACCCGAGGGAGAAAATCAGAAGAAAAATTATATAGGAATTCCGAATCCCGAAGTCGCGTTTCCGACTATCCACCCTAGGGTGGATACGGAATAACTCGTTTTGAGCCTTAGTACCTTCAAGTGGCATTATTGTCTCGCGCTGAATATTATAAATTTGCGAATACCTTCCTTAGATACAGAATGTCACATCATTAGCATCATTTCGCTTTTAGGAATTAATCCGTAAACATCATCATGTCACAGTCATCCGAACAGTACGAAGTTGGAGTACAAAGCTGTCATAAAATTCCTCACAAAGAAGAACAAAACGCCGACGGAAATTTTGAACAGATGTCGACAGTTTACGGGGAGTCTGGACCTTCATTTGCCACCTTAAAACGTTGAAGCCGAGAATTCAAGCATGGCAGGGAGTCGCTAGAAGATGACCCCAGGTCAGGGCGACCAAACACTGCCGTTAACGTTGTCACTGTTGATGCAGTGGATTGAAAAGGGAGAAAAGCCGCCACGGAAATATAAAGTGGAGCGATCGGCATCCTAGTTCATGACCACGGTTTTTTGGGACTGTGAAGGAATTTTATTCATTGACTACCTTCCGTAGAATAGTACAATTAACGGGAACTATAACGCTGCATTGTTGACAAAAATACGACAAGTGGTTGTCAACAAAGAAGAGGCAAACTGGCGAAAGGAGTCCTGTTTTTGCACTGTACTGCAAAAAGCCCCCGTGTACACTCCGCGAGTTGAGTCCTGTTTTTGTATTGTCCTGCAAATAACCCCGTGCACACTGCGCGAGTTGCAAGGCTTGCCCTGAACAAAACTGGATTTGAAGAAATCAATCACCCACCATACAGTCCAGACGTAGCCCCCAGCTATTTTCACTTATTTTCAAATTTGAAGAAAAACCTCCGCAGACGAAGATTTTAGAGTGACGAAAAAATTAAGTCTAGCGGTAGACAAGCATTGTGAAGGCAAAGATGGCGAATATTTTTTCACTGAGTTAAAAGCCCTTTATCACAAATGTAGGAAGTGCATTGTGGTAGAAGGAGATTATATAGAAAAATAAATTTTGTGTACTTTTCTATCAGTATTTTTACTATTTATATCCTATACCCTAGGCTCAAAACTTCAGCCGCCCCTCGTATGTAGTTATGGTTATTAGTTTGCATATATTATGTGGACATAGATGTTTTTAACGTAGCTGTTTGCACTTTGCGCCTAAATTATTTTCTCCGTTTAGTCTGAAGGTAGACTGGTAGATAATGCCTTGTTGCATTAGGTCCGCCTTTTTGTACTTGGTGTGCAAATAAATCATAAATAAATAAAGTAGTATCCAGAGTGGCGATGAGAAGCAGCGTCATAAGTGTGAGGCGTCTAAACGGATGCGGATGAAATTCAGCACATATAGATAAAATCCCAGGTAAACACATGTGAAGAGCTTCGTAGAATTTCAATTCGCTGATACAAACGCTCGAGTGTTTATTTACCACATGTGATATCTATGTTGTCGGTGAAGCTACAATAAAAATCAACAGTAAACTCGAATGTGCTGATAGTGACAAAAATTCGGGTTCATTATCTCCGTCGCGTACAGTCACATTCACAAGTATAAATATTTCACAGACTTAAATTAAATGTTTTGTATTGTCTGTAACAGGATAGAGTCTGTGCGGTGTTTAATGGTGGTCTTGCTGAACTATTGCTCTGTTGAACTAATTTGGGTACTATAGAGGTTACAATAAAACACTATGTACTTGATCTGAATTCTTCTTTTTAATATTTGATTTATTTGACTATACACTTGACTGGTGAGATAAATGATAGCCCGTGTTTAAATCGCCCAGCGCCATCTACATTTCTTTATTGCTACTAATGATAGTCTTAAACATTCCGCCCACCAAGGACATTTAATGACGGAAATGGCCTTAAAAATACAATACCGCCCACCGTGGCAGAATGACAAAATTGGTCTTGACATACTGAACTTAAACTTAAAAATAACATTTGAATTAAAACTTAAATGATAACATATTTAAACCTTAACTTAGATAATAACTTAATTAAACTTAAATATTGTTAAACTGAAATTGTTGCAAAAAAGAACTATTTAACTTATACTTAATAACTTATTTTAAGAAATGCAATTTGTAAGGTTATTTTAAAATTATTTTAAAACACAAAGTACAAAGATTAATCCTGGTTAATTAATCTCTTACTGGTAAGACACATAGTTTTGAAGTTGGTCGCTTGATAAAAGATGACTTAGTACGTATTGTGACCACACGGGTAACATTATCGATCCCGGGATGCTTTTCAACTATTCTGCCCATTAACCAACGACTTGGCGGTAAGTTGTCTTCTTTTACTAAGACTACATCACCAATGTTCGGTTCTGGTTCCCGAGAGCTCCATTTGTATCTATTCATAAGGTTAGATAAGTACTCTTGAGACCAGCGCCGCCAAAAGTGCTGTAACATTTGTTGAATGAATTGCCACCTTTTTAATGAACTGATATTTGATTCTAAATAATCATTGAATTCGGGTACAGCTATTAGCGGTCCCCCAATTAGAAAGTGCCCTGGTGTTAAAGGAAGTGGGTCACTGGGATCTGAGCTGTCTACTGTAATGGGCCTAGAATTTAAACATGCTTCAATTTGACTGAGAAGTGTGCTCATTTCCTCGAACGTAAGTGTGGATTCACCTATTACGCGTTTCAAGTGTAACTTTGTCGACTTGACTCCAGCTTCCCACAGTCCACCAAAGTTGGGGGTGTGTGGCGGAATGAAATGCCACTCAGTCCCATGCGATTCTAAGTATGTAGCAAGACCTTCCTGGTTGGTCTTCAGTTGCTCTAGTTCTCTTGAAGCGCCTACAAACGTAGTCCCATTATCACTCCATATTTGTGTGCAGTGTCCACGTCTTGCTACGAAACGTCTGAACGCTGCTAGGAAGGCCTGGGTGCTCATGTCACTTACCGCTTCCAGATGTATTGCACGAGTGGACATACATATGAATAAGCATATGTAGCCTTTATGAGAATGGTGACCTCGTCCTTTAGTTGTCCTAATGTTTATGGGGCCAGCATAATCCACTCCACTGTGTAAGAATGCTCGAGCGGGTGTACAGCGAACGGCAGGGAGCGAACCCATAAACGGGTTTTGTACTTTGGCATTTTGTCTAACACATGTTACACATCTACGAACATGTTGTTTAGCCAAATTTTTTACACCAATAATCCAATACATGGTTCTCAGGTAATTCACCATTAACTGGACTCCTCCATGTAATGTATTCTGGTGTGCCTCTGATATAACTAATTTCGTGAAATATGCAGAATGTGGTAGTATTATCGGATACTTTGTTTGCGCTGGCAGTTGAGAGTTTTGTAGTCGTCCACTAACTCTCATTATGTCATTGTTATCAAGATACGGACACAATGATTTGAGCTTACTAGATTTAGATAATAAAACTTTCTCCTTAAGTTGTAAATATTCTTCACCAAATTCTTCCTTCTGTACTTTCTTAATGCAACACATTAGTGCATGGTCTATTTCAGTTTTAGTAAGATAAGATTTCCGCTCAGTACACTTATTCTTCCTATTAAATCGTCGGCAATAAGCTATTACTCTAAGCAGCCTTTGTAAGGAAGAAAACTTCTGAAATATTGCATCATCGGAAATGACATTAATATGTGATTTGATGGCTTCTTCTAAATTGATCTTTAAATTCATGGGTCTCTTGTAAGGAATGTTTTCTGTTTTCTCTCGAAGAAAATTTGGACCGAAAAACCAAAGTGCGTTGCCTGCAAGTGCTTCTGGCTGGACACCTCGTGACGCACAGTCAGCAGGATTTTCTTTGGTCGAAACATGGTACCATTGCGAAGAGTTCAGGCTTGTTAAAATCTCTGACACTCGGTTGGCCACGAAAGTCTTCCACCTACTGGGATGGCTGTTAAGCCAAGCGAGCACGACAGTTGAATCTGTCCAAGCTTTAATATTCCTCTTATTAATGTTTAAAACTTCTGCGACCTCCGTCGAAAGTTGTGTTAATAATACAGCTCCACATAATTCTAGACGTGGTATACTGATCTGCTTTATTGGGGCAACTCTAGTTTTTGCTGTCAATAAAGAAACTTTCGTATTGCCATCGCAGTCAACGACTCTTAAATAAACGACTGCTGCATATGCTGATTTAGATGCGTCGCAGAAGCCATGCAATTCAGTGTTGGTGTCCGTCGCGGAAGTGCCTAACCATCGTGGGACTCTTACGGAAGTGAGTTGTGGTAACTCATCACGGTAAGTATTCCAATCTTGTAATAAATCAGCTGGAATTAATTCATCCCAACTCGTTCCTGCTAGCCATAACCTTTGAATCAACATCTTTGCTAAAATAATGCTTGGCGCGATCCATCCTAAAGGATCGTATAGTCGTGCTATAATTGATAATATTGTTCTTTTTGTTTCAGGTCCAGTCGTCGTCTTCGGAAGATTCACTGAATAACGAAAATGATCTTCACGTCGGTCCCAGCTAATACCTAAAATCTTTGTTGTGTTCTCTGTTTTGACCTCTATTTCTTTGTTGTCCTTCAAGCTTTCAGTTTCCTTTAGTTTTAGTATATTTTGTATGTCCTGTATGTTGCCTTCCTGCATTTCCCTTCTCTGTTTGTACTCCTTCAACATGTCCTTATTAGGTGTGTCTTCTTCATTCATGTCTGCTAGCTTTTCATTTATGCTTATTTGTGATAATAGTTCCTCATTGTTGCTGTTCCATTTTTGTAGCTTAAATCCACCTCTAGCCAATAGGTCCGTCATTTGCTTATAAACTTCCAGTCCTTCCTTGACGTCGCAACATCCTGTCATTAGGTCATCCATGTAGAATGCCTGTAATACCCTTGGTGCTGCCAATGGGAAATTCTTGCCCTCATCCAAGCTGATTTGGTTCAATACTCTAACGGCTAAATAAGGGGCGGATGCAATTCCAAAAGTCACAGTCAAGAGCTCAAAATCTTCTATTTCACTTTCAGGGTTTTCACGCCACACAATACGTTGAAATTTTGTGTTGTCTTCAGCTACTCTGACCTGCCGATACATTTTAATAACGTCAGCTACCAGCACAATCGGATCAATTCTCCAACGCATTACTAAGTGACGCAAATCTGCCTGTAGTCTGGGTCCTATCATCAAAGTTTCGTTAAGCGAAACACCATAATTATTTTTACTTGATGTATTAAAAACGACTCTAACTTTCGTAGTTGTTTTGTCCTTTCTAACGACTGCATGGTGGGGTAAGTAAACAGCTTCATTAATTTCATTATTATCTTTTCTTAAACGTCTCATATGACCTAATTGTAAATACTCATTTATGACCTCCGTGTAGTTCTTTTTTAGTTCTAAATCCTTTGATAGCCTTTTCTCTAATGCCTTAAATTTTGTTACAGCTATTTGTCTCGAGCCACCACCCAAACAACGCGGTTGGTTGTCCCGAAATGGCAGTTTCACTATGTAGCGGCCTTCGGTTGTTCGTTTTGTTGTACTTGTAAATATTTCTTCACATTTTTGCTCTTCTTCTGACCACATACTTTTTGTACTTCTTGGTTGTTCTTCTAATTCCCAAAACTGTTTTAAAATATCATGTTCGTTTATTTGTGCATGCATTACCGATATTTTATAATTATCTTTGTCAATCTCACTGCTCTCATTGACTATACCAGACACGATCCAACCTAGAGTGGTATTTTGGGCAATTAAAGATCCGTTGGGACTTCTTTTCACACCATCCATCAGAATTTGGCTGAACACATTCGCTCCTAAAAGCATATCAATTTTGTTAGACACATTAAACTTAGGATCTGCCAGGCATAACTCTTGTAAGCCTATCCAGTCAATGGATTCAATTTTTTGTTCTGGAAGATAAGATGTTATGTTCTTTAGAACATACGCTTTGACCTGGATTTTATAATTACTATCAATCCGAGACTTAAGATTAATAGTAACAACATATTTTGCCGTTAAAGCTTTATCTTCTCCTAGGCCAGTGATTGTTGCTCTGATAGGACTCTTTTTGAGTTGTAAAAGTTGAGCTGCGGCTTCTGTTATGAAACAAGCCTGAGAGCCCTGGTCTAAAAGAGCTCGTACTATTTGGTTTCCACCAGATTTAGACTCGGCATTTACTAGCGCAGTAGCAAGTAAAACCTGTCCGTACCCTGATATTTTACGCATCGACAGACACGAGACTATCGCAGAGTTCTTAGCTTCTGAGCTAGTACACACAACTGACTCTTTGATAGCAGCACCCATATCTGCCTTCTCTTCTTCTGGATGTAAGAGTGAATGATGGCGTCTTTTACAAATCCTGCAAGTCGTAGGCTTATTGCACTCGTACACAGTATGATTCCTACCCAAGCAATTAAAGCAGATGGAATTTTTGGCTACGAAGTCACGTCTTTGTGCACACTTTAATTTTGCAAATTTTTTGCAAAAGCATAATTTATGGTGATCTGAGCAAAACTCACAGCGCATTGAAACATTTGTGGTCAATAATGCTTTAGGTTTTGTACTCGGATTGTTATTATATTGTCCTGTATTGGCCTTTTTTGTATCTGTGAACTCTAATGCACGGAACCGGCTTTCCATAAAACACTTAAGTTGTTCTAAAGTTGGCAAATCATTTAAATCGGAAAAACTAGAAATATGTAGCTCCCACTGTTTACGCGTTTCCGCATCCAATTTAAAGGTAACAATATGTATAACGATAATATCCCATGTGCTCACATCTACGTTAATGTTTTCTAAAGCGTTCATACAATCCATGGTTGTGTCCAATAACTCTTTTATACCTGACGCGGATTCTACATATAGCCGTTTCTGCCCAAACAAACGTTTTAATATACAGTTTGCTAAATATTTTTTATTGTTATAACGTTTTTCTAACAGTGACCAACATGTAATATAATTTGCATCTGTTATTGGTGTGTGTCTTATTAATTGAGCAGCTTCACCCGTTAAATGAGTCTTTAAATAGTGTAACTTCTGAACATTCTTGAGCAAATCATTATTATGTACCAATGAAACGAATAAATCGCGAAATGTCGTCCATTCTGAATAATTTCCGGAAAAATCAGGAATAGTTATTTTTGGCAATCTCACTAACGGGCTAGGCTTCTCATCACTATTAACATTTTTATCGTTCGATTCATTTTCGGATAACAAAAATTGACTTAAAACATTTTTCATTAAAGATTTATACACTAAATAATTGTCCTCAGTTATTTTGTAAATTTCTTTACTTACATACGTTGTACTATCTAATTGTCCTTGTTTTGTTATTTCAAATAATTTTGTATTATTTGATCTAAACAATAACCAATCTCTTTCTAAATTTTCTAATCTTGCTTCTACATATTCTTTTGTTAATCTTTCTTTTGGACTTTTTTTGAAGTTTGACAAGCCCTTTTTGATTGAATTATGTAAATCTAATTGAACATTTATCAGACCTTCCATTTTATTGGCCTATAAAATTTTAATCTTCCTTACAACCTCGGAAATAAAACTCCAAAATTTTTAAGAAAATTTTACAAGTGTTTATAAACTTAAATAAATTGAGTAAAAATTAGTCACAGATTCCTCGTTCCCTCGTTTTTTGCCAAACTATTCTAAGTCCTTACTACTAACATACAAAATATTCTAAGTTAATATCAGAAATCACTAAAATATTACAAATCTACAGGTAAATCAAATGTTCTAATCATATAAATCTTGATTTTGACACAAGTTTAATACACTGAAGTTCAATTTCGCTTGAAAAGTTTAGAAAAATATTGTACTCACAGTTTGCACTTCACAATCACCTTGTTGTTTCACTATTTACGCTGGCGATGACATCTGAAGCTGTTGTGCATCTTCCTTTGTCCTTTGGTTTTTGGCAGCCGGCACCAACTACTTGCATGCAGCAGCACCTCCGCACTTCACACTAAGTTTGCACTATGGCACCGTACAGGGCGCCTCTAGCGCCACGGCTTAACCGCGTACTCGGTCTGCGCAGCGATCCACTGCGAGTACGCGGGAGTGGTCCTTAGATAAGAACCACAACGTCGTCAAAAAATTCGAGCTAATCCGACTCGATGTAGACCAAATGTTTAATGGTGGTCTTGCTGAACTATTGCTCTGTTGAACTAATTTGGGTACTATAGAGGTTACAATAAAACACTATGTACTTGATCTGAATTCTTCTTTTTAATATTTGATTTATTTGACTATACACTTGACTGGTGAGATAAATGATAGCCCGTGTTTAAATCGCCCAGCGCCATCTACATTTCTTTATTGCTACTAATGATAGTCTTAAACATGCGGCTAACTTAAACTAAAAAAAAATTGGTTTTGCCAGTGCCCACTTGCCTTCAAATTGCCGTTTTTGCTTTTCGAAAGAAGGAAAGGAGGCTACACATGATGGGTGTAACCAATTCGATTTATTGATAAGTAAGAACCTTTTCAAAAATCGTAACTTTTCAACTTATTCTACCAATTTATTACTATTCTAATTATAAATGTTAACAATTTATGTAGGTGGATGACCACTGATGACAGTCACTTTGACTTATAGTTATAGAGACGGCAGGGACTTAACGGCATCTTAAAATTGAGTAGCGTTGGAGTATTTGTTCATGAGTGTACAAGTGCAAGGACGTTTGAGATTACGGACGTATGATAATTAGCACCACGCCTTGTCGGATGCGACAGTGTCAACACGTTACGTAAGTTGTGGTTATCTGCTCTTAATTACCACATCCTTTACTTTCGCAAATCAAGTTGTGTACATTAAGAGAGAGACAAATAAATATACATTACTATTACTGCTAGCCTGAGGTATTCTACAACCTTGACCACATGACTCGGTCTAAGGTTTGTTCATGGTCCCCAACACTCCCACTTTTGCCGACCACGCGGTTTGTGAGTACAGTCAGGGGACGAGACCACCTGAATCACGTAACCTACCCGAAGTGCTTCCCGAAGAAAATTTGGAAAATTCATTTTGTTGTGGCAATTAATCGGTTCATTAATTAGAAAAAATATATATCCATAAACGTCACGGTCGTCTTTTGTCGATTCTATTTATTTGTTTCTCCTTGAAATTGGCCTTCATTATTTTAATTATTTTATCGGTATTTAGTGAAGAGAAAATTATGCACAATATTATTACTGCTTATTATATACTAAGACTGATGAAATTTTATATAAAGAAATTGGGGTTGTTATAAACTAATTTGCTTAATTCCGCGTAAAGAAAGATAATGATGTGTCCTGCCCAGTTTTAAGGGGACCTCCCACCCTCCCTCAATCGCGCGCACTATACCCGTCGCCGTGAATCCCAGAACTACCACCCGAAGCACCACCACACCCAGCACCACCACCCCCAGCACCACCACACTAGGCGCGACACACCACTCTCGAAAATACTGAATCCGCAGAGTCTACTTCACCTGAGGATGCCTCGTGTAGAGGCGAAACACATGTCGTATTTTCGAGACTGCTGTGTCGTGCCTAGTGTGGTGGTGCTGGGGGTGGTAGTGCTGGAATTCACGGCGATTAAGGGAGGGCGGGAGGTCCCCTTAAAACTGGGCAGGACACATCATTTTCTTTCTTTACGCGGAATTAAGCAAATTAGTTTATAACAACCCCATTATAATGGATTTCCGCAAAGTAACGCCTGATTGTATTAATTATATAAAGAAATTGGTTAATGTAGGTAACTAGAGATTTTTTCTTACTTACTTAACCTCTTATCTATCCTGCTCGGGGTACAAATTGGAACACTACTGCCACGGGCCGAATTATGCTTATAAATGGGATACTTTAAAGTTTTGTGAAAGTAAAAAAGTTTATTGTTAAAGTTTTTATTATTAAATCTTTTCAAAGAACATCAGCATCAAAAAAAATTTCATGCGTCTATACAAATAAATTTTTCAAGAAAATGTGATATTTAAATTTAGCTCGTAAGAAATGTGGAGGGTGATTTGTAATTGGAACTTTATTTTTACTTGTAAATAATCGTGTTTTCAAAATACATTATATCTGGCCAGTAACTCATACAAAAACCTCTTCCTTGAAAAGCTTTTTACGTAACCTGTCGTATGCACATCAAAGAGGATATCAGTTCTCTACGCTTCAGCAATTTTAAACGGATCTATCCATCCTCAGACCCGAAAGCCAAAAAAAAAATACCAACCCGTCTTATTGTCTGTAATAATCTAACATGCTAATGTAACAATTAGCATGGTGGGCATAACCTGCTGCTTTTTTTTTATAATATGTTGGTGACAAACGAGCACACAATACAACTTATGGTACATACATCTTCATCATTTTTCTTCGATTAAATATAAAAAAAAGATTAAATATCAAAATAATGCTGTTTCGTTTCCATCAAAAAGGATTCTCTACATTCACCATACGAAACACAGCAGCATTAAGCTGCTATTTTACGCTGGTATTCTATGGTCTGGTCTTCCCCGGTCGACCCGACCAATTGGTACTACAACCATAATACAGCTGCAGCGTGGATTTTCCACGTAAAAGCCGTCGTTTGCGTCAAATTAGGATAGGATGCAGCCGTCGAATACTAAGCATGTTTGCACTTGAGTAACACCGTTTCTGAATTTATAAAAGTGGTATTTCAGGCCGTAGAACTCAATGTTTGTGTTAGCATCGGGGGCAGATCCCAGCCTTAGTTTTAGATATTACATATGACTAGATACGATATATTCCCCCATAATTTTCGCATATTTGAAAAAAAAATTGCTCGAGTCTGTTGCAATCATATTTATTATAAAATTTTATTTATTTATGTACACAACAAATACAGTAACAATCATAGACTGAGTTCGTAGAAAGGTTCTACTTATTAAACAATTTATTGAAATGTCTTCCAATATCATAAATATATATTCAAAAAGCTGAACACGTTTAAATAGATAAATAGATAGAGCATATATTTGTTTCTCCAATCTCACACGTAAATTCAGTGACAGTAGGCAATAAGTGACGTATTAGAAAAAAATATTTCTTTATATAAAAGTACATGTGTGATGCAGTTAAAAACATAGTTCAGCGATTAATATTGCTCAGAGAGCAATCATTGATTTTCAGCTATCGAGATGACGAGGTGAAAAGTTTTCGTCTCTTGTTTTCGTCGAAAACGAGCACAATAGAATAATCAGAGTAAATATGTACGAATGGTGTGTCCCTTAAGTCTTATGACTTGCATCTTGAGTTTCTCTTAAGTGAGAATGTGTGATATCCGACAGTGATCCGGTGGATGCAGCGCGAGACGGCGCGCGGGTACGCGGTGGGGCAGTTCTGGTACCTGGTGGGCAGCGAGTGGTGGGCGGCCTGGCTCGCGCACTGCGCCGCGCCCGCCGCCTGCTGCCGAGCGCCGCCCCGCCCGCCCGGCACGCCCTGCCCGCCCTACCCGCCCTACCCGCCCTACCCACCCGACGACGACAGCTTCACCACCAACTCTACCGGTCAGTTCACTCTATATTATAAAGTTTCTCCGATCGGTTGTAAGAGTTTAGAAAATGACACATTGAGTATTATTTATAATTTATGTTTATCCAGCTCGAAGGACCTTATACAAGCACCTAATTGCTACACACATTTTTATTATTTTTGATCGTGAATAGATAGGAATAACTTTACAAAATATTTATTTCTATGTGGATAAACTTAAATGGTCAAAGAAATTGAACAATTCCATTTACTTCGTACATTCCTTCATTCATTATGTGTGCATCTATCGACAAGAGAGTATTAAATTTCGTTAGTAATGCAACTTAAGAAATTGTTGTTATTGTAATGTTACTGGGAGCATAGGCTACTGGATCAACTTCCTATGTAGATCTACTTTTCTATTGAATTTCTAAATACATTTAATAACACCAGAAAGCTTTTTGTGTATGAAAGAATAAATGTTGATCATGATGAAAATCACATTAATTTATTTGTTTGTTGTTTCCAGTGCAATATTGTTTTATATTGTTGCGAAATCATACGATTTTAAAAGTTTGTGTTTCAAGTTCAATCACATCTTCAATCAACAAGAAGCGTTAATACCAGAGCTGTGCGGTGCTAGAAAATGTTTGTGTATCAGAGTCGATGGGGTCGCTGCTATGGCGCGCAGAGAGTGCGTCGCTGGGCAGTGGTGGCAGCGGTGGCAGCGCGGGCAGCAGCAGTGGCATTGGCAGCGCGCCCGTGCCCCGTGCCACACACCCCGGCCCCGTCGACAACCGCCGTCTGCTGGCGCCGGACCACCTCAAGGTACTCGCACGTACACACCTACAATACGCACACACATGTATCATATATATACACACACACATGTATCATATATACACACACACGTGTATCATATATACACACATGTATCATTGTATCATACATTATGAAAGAAATTCATTTTTCATGTTAAATTACGTTAAAGGAGATTGCCCATAATATTACGAGGGTGACACTGAAAGGTTCTTAGAAAATCAACTGACCAAACCAGCAAGTTATTAGTTTTATTATATCTTTTCAAAATAGTGTCTATTTGCATCAATACATCATTCATCATTGCCCACTCGTCTTTAGGGGCACACGGCGTTGTCGTGGTGAAGGAGGATCCTACTGCGAGGTCGTTTCTCCCGAACTTTTTCCAAGAAAAGTGGCAAACAATTGTTAGTGTACCACTCTGCAGTAACTGGTTTTCGATCCTCTAAAACAATTGTTGCGTAATGACCTGTCCTTCCGAAGAACAAGGCCACCATCTTTTTTCCCACGCTTCGACCTCTCTTCACTTTCTTTGGCAACTCCTCGGAAGGGAACACCCAGACAGCAGACTGTTTCTTAGTTTCAGGATCATAACAATAAATCCAGCTTTCGTCACCCGTAAGTACGAGTATATCGAACACAGCACTTGAGTCACCTCCGTTAAATCTTTGAACCATTTCACGACACCAATTAACACAATTTTTTTTGAATTTTTGGGCCTCTGTCAAATTATGTATATATATATTACTCACCTGATTTCAGTATTCTTAAAACTGAAGTCCTTGGGATTCCAGTCCTTCTCGTAGTCGCTCGTGAACTAGTAGAAGGGTCTCTTTCTGCTTTTTCAATGATTACATCTCTTCTTTCTGGATCCACTCTGGGTAGTCCCTCGCGACGTTGATTACGCCCAGGAACGCGTCCAGCCATCAGGGTTTTGTGGGTGTTATTAAAAACCCTGTAGCCCGGGTAATGCTCTAACACTTCTCCTCGCCGCTCCAGTTGCTCTCGATAAAGCCGTGCCGCTAATGCGCCGTTTCCTTGGGCAACGCCGTAGAAATAGTGCATCTCTGCGTATTGACTGAGAGAATAACTCATTGCTGAAAGTAATCCAAATCACTAAGCAACTCAAGGTCCATAAAACAAGCACAGGTCAATCGTAAGGCAAATCATGAATCCGGGAAACAAAGCGAAGGTAGTCAAATAAGAGATCCAAACCTGAGCCTTTGTTTAAATTTCCTTTGTGTGTTTGTGACTGAATGTGCTATCATTTAGTTTGAGTGAAATAAAAAATAAAAACATGTAGTTTGTAGTAAAATGATACCTTAATAAATGTCACGTTTTAACAATAAGTAGTTTTCTTTGCTAACCTGAAGCATTTACTATCTTAGTTTAGCCCTAGAAATGATAAAAAGATTTTTTAAATCAAATTAACTATTCAGGTAGTTTCCTGCCTTAGTAACTTCAGAAGTCTGTAACAGAAAAACTGGCCTATTAAGTGTCATTTTTTTATGTTATTATGAAAGATTAAGGTACTGCCAAGTTTTTAAAAGTAATTAGAAAGTATGAAATAATTTATTACTAGTTTTCATTTAATGTTGAAAATTCAAGCCCCACTCTCCTGACAGAAAATGTTTAAGTTTCGATTAAAATTATTGTATCTTCGGTGAATGTTAGGAAGCTAATTATTTTATGCATAATAGGGCAACTCATAAGGATCATGCTACAAAAAAAACTTGAAAAAAATCTCACAATTACATTTTTTTTAATGTTAGGCTGTTTAGGGTGCACATTTTCAAAAAAAGGATAAAAAAATCATACTCGAAAACTAAAAAAAAATCGCAGAACATACATAGAGTATTTTCGGATACCCCTAGATGTGAGGAATCAAAAAAAAATTTATAACCTCACTGTTTGGACCAACCTGTATATCAAAAATATCTTAAAATGTTAAGCGTCAGTCGCTTAGTAACTCTGTCAAAGAATTTTGTCCTGAGAAGGCGTCAAAAAAAGGATATTTAGATTTGAACCTTTTTAGGTTGTGTCTTATGTCACTTGGAAAAAGTCATGCTTCCTGTGGTTGTTTGATGTTAGCTTAATACATAATACATAATTGAGAGTTTTTAGATTATTGTATCTCTATTATATATTTGCATACTATAAAATAAATGTATATTTATGGCATGGCTCCAAGGCCTTTGTGTCATAGTGACATTCTAAGAAGGGCTAGAACCTAGAGCCGTAAAGCCAGTAAAAAAACAACAGTGACATTTTGTTTTAGCTAGTGTTGCCATAATAACATTAAATGGAATTATTACATAGTACTATGATTGAGATAATGTATTATTCTAGGCAGTTCTTTTTAAGAGATTTATTCTCAACCATATCACTTTTATTTTTATTATTACTGATAGTATAGTTATTACTAATAATAACTTAATATAAAAGTATTTTGTGTGTTGTGTTGGTAGTCTTACAGAGTGTATACGAAAATAGTATGAATATACTAAATGGCAACACTTGAATAGAGTAAAATAATTTAAGTCATTTAATACTGCCAAAAATGTTTTTTTTCTGTGGCTTTAATTAAAATACATTTTTATTTGAAAAATCATAGAAAAATAATAAAACTCATTTTATATATAACTTATTTCTAGACGCGATAATTTTTGTCAACTAATTTTCTGCCATTGTTCTTTATTATGTAAATTTCGTTACCGGTAGATGTTTATTACATATTATTATAATAAATAATTTCATGTAATATTTTTTAATATACCGCTGCTTTACAGCTGACTAAAATGTATAATTTTTTCTTCATGTTCTTATATTGTCATCGAATTCTGAGCTATATTCAAAATTTCAAGTCTAACTCATCCGGAAGTTAGTTTAAAATCAATAACGAAATTCGACCCGGACAGACACACGAAAGCGAGTTAATAGAAACGTGGGAAAAAGCAGCGGTCCCAAAAACTACCATGTGACACGCCCAATTGATTTTATTTAAATTTGGACTTAAATAAGCGCTTGTTATCTGTTATTTACTTTTTTTTATTGAGATAAGGGTGACATCCAAGCACACTGTCCACCTGATGATATGTTGTATATATCGCGTATGAAGCTGTGGCATATACGTACATAATTCATCGCTTAAGAATTAAAAGCGTTTTCACACATGAGGACTAAGACGGACTGTCTCGTTTCCAGTAAAAAGCTGGCCAAGTGCTAGTCGAACTCGCGCATGAAATAGAATAGAATAGAATAGAATGATTTTTATTCAATATTGATTATTACATAATACTTATTGAAAGTCATTTTTATTTACCTGTAGTGTTGGGTGGTTCGGGGAATAAATAAAACGTCCAATAGTCTAGACGGTAGGTTTAATACTAACTCTCTCTTATTCTATCCTACATATATATAAGCACACACTACACGCCTATCGGCAAAAAGAAAAAAAAATCATTTACAAAAATTTTTTTTTTTCTTAAATGTAACATAACTTGGTTTATAAAAAAAAAATTATATAAAAGGTGTACATTACAAAGTATTAAAATTCTTATACTATAACATACTTATATCATAATAAAAAAAAAAATCGTAAACACAGTAATTTTTAATTAATTTTATTTGTATTTATAGTAATAATAACAATTTTATTGTTTTATGTATATGGTCTAGTGCGATTTTTATGTATTGACTTATGTTTACCTTTGTAATCTATTGTTACATTTGGTTCACAATCTTCGATAACCTTAAATGGTCCTATATAAAGAGGATCAAATTTGTTTACACATTGTTCATTCTTAAGGAGTATCATATCACCGACATTATATTTAATTGGATTGGTATAGTAATCATACTTTGTTTTCCTACTTTGTTTGCTTAAAATTAAATTATTTCTTGCATCGTATTGCGATTTTTGAAGTCTATATCTAAGTTGTTGTGGATAATCATATGGGTTATATAAGGGCTCTATATCTAAAGTTAAATTAGTTGGCAAACGGCAAAGCTTCCCAAAAACAAGCTCATATGGAGTATACTTGGTTTCCGTGTGTACAGTGTTATTATAACCAAAACACCAATACGGTAACCAAGTGCTCCAGTTATGTGGTTCATTACCTGTTTGAATTCTGAGAAATGACATTAGATTTTTGTGGCTGTTTTCTAAGGAACCTATAGATTGGTGATGATATGCTGTTGACGTTACCTGTTGCGTTTTGAGAATACGGCACACGTCTTTCATGACGGTTGAAACAAATTCGGTCCCTTGGTCAGATATTATTTGTCGAGGAATACCATATCTCAAAATAAAATTATTGATAAAAGACGATGCCACTGAAATAGTATCCTTATGTTTAAGCGGATAGGCTTCAACATACTTACTTAAATCACACTGTAGTGTGAGTATATAAACATTACTATCGCTATCTTTACATAAGGGCCCTACTAAATCTAAATAAACTCTATCAAAAGCAGAATATCCCGTATCGGTTATCACCATTGGTTCTTTTATATGCTTATTTAAGTGCTTATATCGCAAACACTTGTCACATTGGTTTACATAATTAGTCACATCCTTCTCTAACCCGGGCCAAAAGAATCTTTTCTTTATATTGTTTATCATTCGCCTTATACCGGCGTGACCGCTAGTTGGCAATAGATGATAGTCGTTTAATATTATACGTTTTGTCTCATGATCGTCGATTTTATGGACACCATTTAAAATTAATATTCGCGGTCCGGACCTATTTGGTGTCTCATTTATAATTCGAGTTAACTCCCTAATTAATATATTGTTATTATTATTTTGTATAATATACAGACGATCTATCTTTCGCTTATTACAAAAGCAATCCAACTCCCTCACAAAGGCATCTCGTGCACAATATGATCGGAAAGAAGGATTTACATAAATTGTTGACTTTGCTGAGACAAAACAAAATAACTTAGAGTTAGAATAGAACTTTTCTTTCATTCTGTCTATCTTTTTCCATTCTTTTTCGTCTACA